TGGCCTCTATCCCAGTTTTATCCCTTAATAATGCTTTGTCCAAATGAATGAGTAGAAGTCAGCCATGAAAAGGCAGAAAGTGGTGATACATGGGACAGCACGGTGAACCTTGGAACCATTACCCTAGGGACAAGATGCCAGTCACAAAGACCACAGCGGCCCTGGCTCCACGCACACCGATGTCTGGAGCAGGAAGACGGATAGGGATACACAGTGGATCAGCGTTTGCTTAGGGCTGGAGGGAAACGAGTGGGCAAGTATAGATTGGGGGAAAAGGTGTAGAGTTTCTTTTTGAGGTACCAAAGATGGTCTAATATTGTGAATATATTAAAAGCCATGAATCACACACTCTCCCCCCTCAAACCATTGTATTGGGAGCAAATGCAGACATCATATCGCTCCATGGTTCCATCACCTCAGGCAGTGTTGTACAATTGCCACCACAATCAGTTCCAGACAGTCTCCTCCTAATTAAACTCCTTGCCCTCATACCCCCACCCCACCCCCCTCCATTGAGCCTTCATTCTACTTGTTGTCTCTATAGGCTCATCAATCCTGGGTTTCATATACTGAAAACAAGAAAACCATAAAACAAATTTCAAGCTGGTTACCCCCAGTGGCAAAATACATCTGAAATAAAGCCCATTAGGAGCCAAAAAAAAGCACAGAAAATGTTGAAAACCAGATCAAGCCCAACATGCATCAGAGGGGAGATCAATTGACGAGACTTTGACTGTGCAGGTCACGTTCATCATTTTGATCTCTAGTCATCTCTCCGCTGTGGTAACTGGTTCTTCCCCTCCCTGTAGTATGGCCAGAGGGAAACCACCAAATGCTTAGTTCCTGTGTAGAGCCCACAAATGTATCTTGGGCTCCCGCTGTCATCGTGGCCTTCTGCCAGAATCTCACAATTTAGACTCTGATACTGTTACCTCCTTTGGCTTCGGGATTATGATTTACAATCCTGTGGTCACTAATATTGGTGTTCTTCTTCTATGTGGATTTGGTTGACATCTCACTCATATGGCTGATTGTTTGGAAACAAGCCTTTAAGACCCCAGACAATTTTATCTGATAGTTGGGCACCATCTAATTTCTTCACCACACTTTTCTGTAGCACCCATACCTCTGGAATCACACATTTTAAATGGTTGAATTGTGTGGTATGTGAACTATATCTCAATAAGACTATTTTAAAAATAGAGATTATTTTTTAAAAAGGGATCATTACACTGCCCAGTCAAGAAACTTAAGTCTAAAATGTTAGACTTGACATACTGTCTGTTAAATAAAATCTCTGTTATTACTGCTAACTGCCCTCAAACTGGCCCCACTCAAGATGAAATGAAACACTGCCTCCGCCTGCATTACCCCGGGGATGGGTTGCGGTTAGGGTCTATTGCAATGCAAAGGGTTTTCATTGGCTGATTTTGAGAAGTAGACCAGCCTTTTCTTCTAGTCTGTCTTTGTCTAGAAACTCTGCTGAAACCAGCCTCACAGCACCATGGAAGCCAAGCTCCTACTGGCAGACAGTTGGTAGCCAGGAATGGATATATATCTCTGTGTTAGTCTAGGTTGACTAGAGAAACAAATTTAGAGACACTCATGTGTAAGCAAGAGCTATATATCAAAGAGCAATTGTCTATTAAGAAAACATCCCATCCCAGTCCAGAACAAGTCCGTAAGTACAATATTAGTCCATAAGTCTGATATTAGCCCACGATTCCTCTTCAGATTCATGCAGCACATGTAATGATGCAAAATGCAGGAAGATCACAGGGTGGTGGGTGAAAAGTCTTGTGAATCCAGTGGCAGTGGAAGCATCTCGGCGCTGGTGCGGGTCTCCATGTAGCTCCTCGAGCTCAACAGGAAGATGAACAGAGAGGGTGAGGCTCTCACAGGGCTCAGCAAGTCTCTACATGGCTTGTCAACAGGAAGACAAAGGCAGAGAGAGGAGAAGTTCCCAGAATCCTCATGAGAGGGCCATGCCTGCAAGGAGGCATCATCAGGCTGTGACCTGATCGACAGTCTAGACTCCACCCTTTCACTTTTAATACCCTCAAGGTGACAGGAACTTATGTAGCTACCAGTCTCCCATTGAAACACTCAGGCCTCTGCGGTGCACCCTGCCACAGCTCTGTAGCTGCTCTCTTGGTGCCATCGTGGAGCTGGACAGATGGGGTGGGGTGGGGCGGAGGCTGCTCCAGAGCTCGGTGTGTAGGTAGGTCTCTCCTTCAGCACTCATTTGATTCACAGACATACAGATATAGGTGGGAACCATGATTTGAACTTAAAAGGTGGCTTTGTCTCTTTTGGGCTTAGGTGTTGAATAAAGAATGAACATGGATAGTTTCACATTTTGGAAGAACTTTAAAGGTGAAAACAAACAAACAAACCCTAAAATAAAAAAAGTGTTGCGTCTTGGAATATGAATGGAGTGTTAGAACTCCACTGTAGCACGCTTTTCCTACAGTATTAAATCCCAAGAGTATTAAATCCTACTGTATTAAATCCCAAATCATTAAACCATGGGATTGTAACTTGCTCACTGTCCCTTTTACAGAAAAGGAGACCATGGACGTCTGGTGCAATGGGAGGAAGATGGAGACCGCAGTGAGTTGACCTTTTCATTGCTGTTAGGCCAGGTGTGCAAGTTACCATTGAGTGGCACCGTGTTTCCAAGTTTGGGAGAGTTTATAAAAAATCAAGGCCCTCGTAGCTAACAACACAAACAGTAGTAAGTCCCTGGCTCCAAATTCTGAAGATCTTTCCCCAACAGTGTCGGGGGCAGTGGACATTGGGAAATGAAGCTCAGACCCCAGAGGGTTCTTCTGGACCAGGCGTGGTCTTAAAACAGTCTCCCCAAGATTTAGTGCCCTCCTGGGAGCCTTTCCATCTAGTGGTGCTTTGTGGAAATCCCTGGGGGATCTTGTTAAAGTGCAAATTCTGATTGAACATTTCCTACAGTGAGGCCAAGCTAACTGGCCCCTGGCCACACTGAGCAGGAAGACTTTATGCAAAACTCTGAGGGCCGACAGTGCTTTTCTGAAAGTGGGCTGAACACAAGCAACCAAGTAGTGAGGCACACGATGCCCCAGAGCACACAGGCCGGCAGCTCAGGGAGCTGCAGAAGCCTCAGAAGAGGAGCGGAACGGGAACGTGTGGACCAGCAGGAGTGGGGAGGGGAGAACGGCACTGCCCCAAGCTGTGCTGAGCCTCAGTGCAATCCCCACGCAAGCACACAGACACTGGTGTGGGTGTTGCCAGTTGTTTGGGCTTTAAGGGGGCTGAATGGGGGAGTGACTTCAAAGGGAGTGAAGTTCAAGGTAAACTAAGCAGAGGCCTGCACAGAGCAGGAGGAAGGGAGAACACAAAGCATCAGGGAGTCTGAGGAGACCTTTCCTGATGCTTCTGGGCCTGAATGGGCTGGGGTGGGGGGGCCGCGGGCTGAGATGCTGGGGAGCGCTCTAGGGCAGCCTTCAGCCAGCTGCGTGCTCGTTGGTCCATTATAGGGGTGGGAGGGGAGGTATGAGGGACGTGGGGAAGGCCAGCTGGGATGAGTTCATCTTGCAGAATATGTAGCCTGTGCTTGCTCTTGAAGCTCATTGCTCCTGAGAAGGTGCCAGAGACAGAAACCCAAACTTGCAAGGATGAGTGCTTTCCTGCTGCTGAAGGGAACTCTCACCCAGACTCGCTCAGCGTCCACCCTCAGTGCAGGAGTGTGCTCTGCACATGTCTCCTGGTGCAGCTGCCTTGTACAGAGGCTGGGGGAGCTGTTTCCTCCTTTATGCCCCAATTGGAACAACTTTGTTGCCCTCAGCATGCATCAGATACTTCCTGCGGGCCTGCCAATATGCCTGGTGGTCCTTCCTAGTCTGTCTACTGGGAATTCTCTGGATGGGGAATCAGCACATTTGAATCACACCCAAACCCCTACCCCCAAGCACGTCTCCAGTGCATATGCAAAGCGGTTGTTTCGTGGCGCCTAAGTCTGTGGTTTTAAATGGACTGGTCATTAGGAAGTCATGTTTATCTACCCATACGGTCTTCGCTCCTTAGTAGCTGAGAAGCACCTCGGGTGTTTGGACAGCTGCCCTTGTCCAGCCAGCCTGCCCCAGCACGGTGGCCCAGCTGCCCTCGCCGCTGCGGAGCCTTCTCAAAGCAGCGTGCCTAGGATTACGTATCCGGCAAATCCAAGAAGCTACATCGGGGGATCCTGTTATCCAACCCTTGCCCCTCCCTCCAAATGGATGTTTACCGAAGGCGTGACCCAGAGGATTTTTTCCCCCCCCAAACCAGACCCTTGCGGACAGGGCTGATAGAGCCCCGTGAGTTTCTGAGACTGTAGGCTCAATATTAAAAAGGTGAAATGGAAAATACTGCATTGAGGGGTGCTGCTGGAGGAGGTGGCCGCCGGTGGCCTCCCGGAAAGAGCCTTGGCCAGAGCCGCCCCCTCCTCCAGGCTAGACTGGCTGCGCTGGGCTTGCTTTGCGAGTCAATGACGGTGCGGGCCTCAAGGGCTTGTTGTCTATTTCTGTTTGGAGGTCGGGCTTCAGCTGCCAGTAAGGTAGGTCATTGCCAAGTTTCAAATCCCATTGTGGTCTCATTGCTTTTTTGGCATGACGCATTTTTATCCTGTGACCCGCGACACCTTCCTTCCTGGACTCCCACGGTGCTGTGTAAGAGAAACGGAAGAGGAGCCTCGCACACGGGCCCCACACGGGCGAACTTCAACTTATCTGCAGTAGCAAAGGTTACATCTCCTTAAGAAGAATTTCATTCTAGTAAGATGGTGTTTATTTAAATTGATAGGGCGATCGCATTACATCTAAAATTGTATCCATATTAAAAAACTGCTCGCTTTGCCTTCTTTCTTTCATAGTACGCCTTCAAAGCCAGTGTTCTCTGACGGTCTATTGCATTTCAGAGCATCCGCATTAGTGGGGCACGTGTAGCGTGTTGGGTTTATACTATCTGTGAGTTTTGTTGGGCGCCTCCATCCATCCATCCTGTGGGATGAGATCGTCAAGTGGTTAAGAACATGCCCCCATTGACGGACTGCTGCCTGCAGCAAGTGACTGACCTGCCGTGTGCGCCTGCGTTGTTTCCTCCTCTAGAAAGTGCGGGTGATAGTGCTTATGCCCAGGTGATTGTGACGGCCCAGTGAGATAGCTGGCGTGGTGTGTGGAGTAAGTGCTTGCTATCCTGAATCCCATCTGTATTTTCAAAAGCAGGCTGTGTAGACCAGCGGTTCTCAACCTGTGGGTCGCTACCCCTTTGAGGGTCAAACGACCTTCTCACAGGGGTCACCCGATTCATAACAGTAACAAAATTACAGTGATGAAGTAGCAACGAAAATAATTTTATGGTTGAGGCATCACCACATGAGGACCTGTATGAGAGGGTCACGGCATCAGGGAGGTTGAGAACCACTGGTGTAGACGAAACTGGTGTGACAGACAAATATATAGCCATGAGATACACTTTATTTCCCCTCAAGCTGGAGGTTCTTAAAGGTCATTGGGGTAAAAAACAAGCACACAAACAAAAACCCGTTCAAGTCACACAACTGTCAAAACCCCTAAATCCATGCTTCCAACCCAGTTGGGCAGAGCTTTCTGGGGCGCATTTTGGATGGCTACTTTTCGTACTTCCAGATGGTGGTCGAGCTCGAAGCCGGACGAGACAGTGTGGCGCACTAATCCCCCTTTCCTCTTTTGGCCAGGGTGAGTTTGTAGAGGATGGAACTGAAACGCACTTCCGAGTTGGGAACCATGACTGTTACATAAAGGCTGTCAGCAGCGGGAAGCGGAAAGAAGGGATCATCCATACTCTCATTGTGGATAATAGAGAAATCCCAGAAAGTCTTGAGTGACTCCGTGGTCACTCAAGATGAGAAATAAATTTCTAATCTTAACAAGAAAGGAGGAGGACTTTTCAATTTCCCTGGTAGTTAGTTACATGTTCATTTCAGCGTGTACTCCTCAGTACATTCAGTCTGGGCTGAGCTATTCTTCCAAAGGCCCATTTGTGGGGTGGGGGGTAGGGTGGAAGCAATACCAATTATGTACAATCATAAAGTCACAACTTATTTTGTAAATAATGTAAAATGTCCTAAGGCTAAATGGAAAATATGAACCCAAACCACTGATGTTTTACAAGAGAAACCTTTCCTGTGATAAACACTATGTTTCCTATAATAAACACCACTACAAAATCAAACTGGTGCTGTTGGGTGTGTTTCTACAAGCTGCCAAGTCTACACAGACTTGGTAACCTGTGCAACCAGGTTTCTAGTAGCTGGTACAGAACAGTGCGGTCATTTGTCTAGAGAGTCTTCGTTTGTTGAACAGCAAGTTTCTGATGTTGCTATTTTGTTAATTAGCATGGTGAGGGCAAAGGCAAGATGTCAGTGTCTGCAGCCACCGCCAGGCTTTAAACACCCAGAGCTGCGCAGCACGTTCAGAAGTCTGCAGCCTCAGACTGTGGTGACTGACTCGGGCCTTACATCTCCCTGGACACTCCCCCTGCCTCCCAGTCCTGTCCACACATAGGGACAAGCCCCGGGCATCACATGCTCAGGTGTGTACATTGAGGGGTGGAGGGATAGTTAATAATGGAGGCATTGTTGGTGCCGTGGGTTAAGTGCTGGGCTGCTAACTCAACCCACAAGCTGCCCCACAGGAGAGAGATGCGGCAATCCCGTGACATCCTCAGACCCCACTCCGCGGCTCTGCTCTGGCCTCTAGGGTAGCTGTGAATTGCACTGGCCTCAGCTGCGTGGCTTTTGCGTAGCTGGGCATTTCATCGTCATTATCACTGTGGACCCTCCGGGGAGGGAGTGATTCTCCATTTTCCAGAGCTACTTGTCCAGTATGGTAGCTGAGTTAGTTAATTGTGCCAGCCTGGCCGATAATCACATGTGGGGCTAATTGACAGGCGGAGGGATAAATGGCTCGGCGAGCCTCGCCTTTCTAGTTCTCCGGTCTCTTGCTTTGTGATGGTCGCGCCCGGGTGCAGCTGCCTTAGCAGTTTCCTGCTTCAGCTTGCAAGATTGACTTCCTACAAGACATCCCCAAGGAGAAGCTACATGGACCTATCCCCATGCAGCCCTGGGTGCTGGAGCAAGCCGTGTGGAGACCCCTGCTAGTGCTGAGATGCTTGTTCATTCACTGACTCAGCTTTCCTCCTGCAGTCGGCATCATTGCCTCTGTTTTGTGAGGTGGAGGACTGGTGTTGGATTAATGTTGGACTTATGGGCTTGGGCAGCATTGGGTTGGGATGTTTTTGTGATGCATTTTCTTTACATAAAACTCTCTCTTATCCATGAGTTGCTGTGGATTTGTTTCTCCAAAGTACCCAGACTAATACAGTAGCCATCAGTCACAGGTTGCTTATGGTAAATTATTTTAAATGAAAGTCAGTTAAAAGTTCAGAGTTGCACTAACCCTGTTTCATGTGCTTGATCGTCACGTCCCATAGTGACAGTGCGAGTCACACACCAAGTACTACTGGGCAGCTCTGGCCTCCATAAATGGTTTCCGATTTAGTGGCTTGTTACAGTAGTAGGATAAGCTGACCTTAAGCCCAGGTTTTCTGATCCTAAGACCCATGTCCTTTACTAGTCTCTCCCTGCCACTGACATATTTCCAAGAGATTCTGAACAGCCGGCCAGTGCCAGGGGATCCCCAGGAAGGAGGTGCCGAGGGGCAGGGGAGCAGTAAGGTGGCCTGGGCCAGGCATGCAACCCCCTGGAGGGCAGAGGGGGTTAGAAAGCTATTTTGTTCCACGGCAAAAATTTCCTGCCTAGATTCTTAAATATTGGTGAGCTTTTCTTTTTCATTCTTATTTGTATTTTTTTAATTTTTGCCATGTTATCTTTTAAAAATTGTTATTGTTACTGCTGGGTTTCCCAGTTTCGAAGCAACAGGAGTAGATGCAGAGCTAGAGTTGAGGCATTAATTGCTGGGGAGGTGGCGCAGAGACAGGGAGGGCGAGGGGATTTGGGGAACAAACAAGGAGTTGGAGGGGGCCGCTGGAACGGATTGTAATGATGTAGAAACAACTCATTTTAAAAGTGATTTAACCGTGGAGGTGTATGATTTGTGAATACTGTATCAAGAAAATCACTGGGGGGTGGGGAAAGTTGATATAACGTGAAAAATGTAGCCAATGTCATTAAACAAGATATATAGAAATTATTTAATAAGAACCTAGTTTGCTATGTAAGCTCTCACCCAAACACAATAAAGTACATTTTTTAAAAAGCTATTGACAATTTCCTGTAACACCTCTTTATTTTCAAGTCTTCCCAGTGGGCAGGTTGGCATATTATCTTCACAAGCATCATCCACCTGCTCTCCTCACTTCACCCCATCTATGCTGGAAGACAAGGATGTGGCACAAGGACCTCTGAGGACTATGAAACTCAAGTTGAAGTTTGCTCGAAGTGTGTGGGTGTTCGGGCTTGCTTTAATTTTTCTTGAATAAATGATGTTAATGTGGATATTTTTTCTAGTACAAAGAAAATGGATTGTGCAATTTGTAGATACTTTAAACTGTTATGAACGGTCAAAACGTGATTTTTCAGTGGGTGTCCAAGTCCTAAGAATTAATTTGTTTACCTTTAACTTGGTGAACTCATATTTGATGCTTTTGAACATTTTTTGGAAGCAGCATACTGAGAAATGCAGCCAGGGATTGGAGTTTGGCACAGCAGGGTTAACTTCTTGAGGCTTACTTTCCCCACCTACAAAAGGATTGAGGCTGCATTTGTTTCGTTCCTTGTTGAATGTCTGGTGTTATGTGTATGATCCTTAATTATTAAGCTATGAAATTAAAACCATATTTAACTGGCACCCAGATGAAAATCTGAATTTGTCAAGAAAAATAGATCAAAGCCATTGATCTGTCTCTCTGAGCTGTGGAAGAAAGGACGCCCCTCACAGCTCAATGGTGAAAATAAGCATTTCATGTTCATAGGAAAGTGATCTACAACATTTAGTGAAAATGCCACTTAAATTTTAAGAGGCCCAAACTAAGAAGTATAATTTTAGAAGTCCATGTAATGCTCACTTTAGTGTGGAGCTAATAATAGGAATTTCTCAGGTGATGGTAATTTTCTATTTTTTTATCTGGATGCTGTTGCAAAAATGTAACCAATGGTTTCACTCTGTGAAAATTACACTGCATGCCCATCTGAATTCAGACCCATGTAGGTGTACATTAGGAGCCTTGTGTCACAGTGGGTTAGCCGAACCTCGAACCTCAAGGTCAGCCGCTGGAATCTGATCCTGAGAAGAAAGATGAGACTTTCTACCCCCAGAAAGATTTATGGTCTGAGAAACCCACAGGGACAGTTCTACTCCATCCCAGAGGGTTCCTTTGAGAGGATATTCATACTATTTCATCACCTTGAGATGGGAAAGATTTCTTTAAAAGAACACGGAGTATTAACCACAAAAGAAACAATTGTGAATTTGACATTAAAATCAAGGGCCTGTGATATGAGAAACAAGCCAATAAGAGAATGAGAATGGAAATCAAAGTAGAAAAATACATTTTCAACACGACTTGACAAAAATTTGAATTCAGACTACACAAAGAATGTCCCAAACAAGAGAGCAACACAAAATAACACTTCTCCAAACTCATGGATTGAATTATGTTGTGGCAGTTATGTAATGATTCCCTTCTCACCACCACCCCCCATGTTCTGATGGGATAAACCGATAAAAGATTAAGGAGGGTGATATGCAACACCCTTAATCCCCTCTCAAAACCCTGATACCATGTAAGGAGCATGTCCCTGAGGTGTGGCCTACAATGGAGCCCTTGATCTAGTTGGTTACAGTTGGGCTGGTAATCAAGGATGAGGCAGTCTGTTCCCATAAAGATGTATGGTCTTAAAAACCCTGTATAGGACCCTCATGAACCAGAATCAACTCCATGGAAGTGAGTTTGGTGGCCTGCAATACCTTCCATCTTTCATGAGACAAAAGGAGAGAGTAGTGCAGAGTGGGATGGGACCCACTACGACAAGAGCTGAGCTGAGAGCGTGGGGTCCCTGACTGAGAAACTGAGCAAGACTGACGCCAAGACACAGGGAGAGTGCTAAGCAATGCCAAGCCTGCACATGCTGAAGAAGGCAAGAAACTTGCCCAGACTTAGCCAACACAGAGAGAAAGCCCGCCCCTGAGTGCTGGCACTGTGAACTCTCATTTTTAGCCTCCTAAATTGTGAGGAAATAAAATGGTTGTTACAGCCATGCACTTGCTGTTACAGTAGTACTTAATAACTAAGATACAAAACTACAAACTAAAATTACAGCTAGAGAAATGGCTAAGAATTTAAACAGGCATTTCACAAAGGAAGAATTCCTAGCATTTAAAAATAAATGTGAAAAAATAGCTTAATCTCATTACCAATCAGGGAAATGCCAAGTAAACTCACGACACACATCTGTGGCTAATCTAATCAAGACAAGTTGGTTAATTAAGCATTAGTGGGACAACAGGAATCCTCAAACCACTGCCGGGAGAATAAATTGGTATCACTTGACTGCAGCCTTCAATATGGAGCACAACTCAAGGTAAATAAAACCAACTAGTCCTTCCATCTTCCCACCGCAGTCAGTCTCAAACAAAACTCAAATCCTCACGACTGGACGTCATGATGGAGACAAGATAGACGTTTCCAAGGATTTCGTTTTACTTGTCTACATTCCACATTAATGGAAGCCAGCAGTCAAGAATTCAAATGGCATTACTTTGGGCAAATCTACACAAGACTTTTTAAAGTGTTAAACAAAACAAAGATGCTGCTTTGAGGACAAAGGTGCACCTGACGGAAGTCACAGTGTTTTCAACGGCCTTATGTGCATCTGAAAGCTGGGCCGTGACTGAAGAACTGACGCGTTTGAAGTACGGTGCTGGTAGAGTGCATTAAGGACTGGGGCCTGCCAGAAGAATAACCAAATCTGTGGTGGGAGAAGTACAGCCAGACTGCTCCTTAGAACGGGAGATGGCAAGACTTCCTGTCAGGTACTTTAGCCACGTAAGGAGAGACTGTCCTCCGGAGGAGGATGCCGTGCTTGGTCAAGTAGAGGGACATGGAAAGAGAGGTCGACCTTCAACAAAGGACTGACATAGTGGCTGCAAAAATGAGCTCAAACATAACAATTTTAAGGATGGCCCAGGACAGACCAAGCAGGCAGTGTTTTGTTCTGTTGTACATAGGGTGACTGTGAGCGCTACTGGGTGGAAACTAGTAGGTCAACTTAAAGATGTGCCTATAACCCATCAAAGGAGTCCTGGTGGCTCAGTGTGTAAGCACTGAGCTGTTAACTCAGAGGTTGGTTTGAATCCACCAGCTGTGCTGTCGAACAAAAATGTAGAAATACTTCAGAATGTGATGTTAGAATTGTTCATTTATGGACAGCGAGATAAAATTGTTACAGACACTGAATGAGGACGAGGCTCCGAGAGGCTGTAATGGGTGCATCAGACTCTAGAGCAGGGGTTCTCAACCTTCCTCATGCCATGACCCTTTCATACAGTTCCTCATGTTGTGACCCCCCCCAACCATAATATTTTCGTTGTAACTTCATAACTGTAACTTTGCTACTGTTATGAAATGGGCGGCCCCTGTGAAAGGGTCGGTTGACCCCCCAAAGGGGTCACGACCCACAGGTTGAGAATGCTGCTCTACAGGGATCCCCGCATTCTAAAGTTGGGAAGGTGGAAGGTGGAAGGTGTTATGGAAAGAAAATACTACGAAGCATACTAGTACTATAAACCCTGCCTTCTCTCACTTTCTGTCACCTGCCATAGACAGGTGACCCCTACATGACCTCAGGTTCAGTCCGAGGGAGGGCTGGGAATGCACTGGAGGAACGTCCCCAGCAGACAGAGGGGCGGATTCTGCCTGGTTTCTCACTTCTGGGGGCTCCTCCCTTCAGTAGGATAGCCAGAATGCTCCTTAGAATAAGGTGACCAGATTTTAACATTGGTAAAGCGGGACACCATTGATAAAACTCATATCCTGGTGAAATAGCCACATGGCAGCCGGAAATAATATACCCTAGCTTGTGCATTCTTTCCAAAAATCGGAACTTTGTAAAACGCTGCGGGATGCGGGAAAAATTGTTAACAAGCGGGACATCTGGTCACCTTATGTTAGATGGTGAAACTTCAGGTGTGCGTAATTTTACTCCTGGAATTCACAAAGTCTATTCCAAAACACCTAAGTGGCTGCAGTGTGGCTTTGAGTGCCAGGGAAGTGAAGGGGCCTGCTCTCGGGTCTCAGGACGCCCTCCAGAGACATGAAAACAGGACCTCTTCTCCGGCTCTATCCAACTCTGCCAGAGCCCAGACCGTGCTTGACGGGGCTGGGACGCATGGGACAAGATTGCCACGTGCTCCTGTGATGGGCTATGTTAACTGCCTTGATCGTGTGTCTGGGAGTCCCAGTGCACGGGTCTGGAACCTTGGATGGCCCATAAAAAAGAAACCCACACATCCCAAGAGCAGCTAAACCAGCTCACCCATTTATTCGACTAAGAACATTAAGAAGGACAACAAAATTAAACGATCTTTAATAAATTTCCTATAGAAAACCCAGTCACAGGGCAAATACTCAGTTCTCTTTCGCATGTCCTTGAGGACCGAGAGCTCCCAATCGTCTTTGGAGAATCAGCAGTCGTTTTGCTGGATGCTGCCCATCCTCAGAAAGAACATTCATCTACACATTCAAACCAGTAGTTCCTATTGCACATATTAACATTATTTGCCATCTAGCACCCTAAATGCATGGTACCCTCAACAAATAAATTAAAGAATCCCAGGTGGCATAGAACCATTTCAATTTGAACTCATATCCTTTAAAAAAATCACATTATTACAAGTTTTAATAAACACAGTAAGAACCGCTGGCATTTTAATAAAATACTGGGTTTTAGATCTGGAGTTTAATCCATAAATAAGTTCCTTCTCACTTGCTTTCTTTCTTGGATACATTTGCTCCAGTATTATGCTCTATGAAATGAACTCTTTCATAGCTACCATGTAAAGTCGTATTAATATGTGCCTCCTTACAGAAGCAGCTGGAAGAACTGGATCACACAGTGAACTGAAAGGTAACATAAGAAAAAAAAAGGTAACATAAAGAAAAGCTTTTTAAAAAAAAATTTTACAACTCAAGTTAAAGAAAATCAGACATCTTTTTACACAGAACTCCCACTAGAAATATTATAAATATATATGCATCATATATTTACATACATATATTTGCCTGAACAGATTTTCAGCCAGTCTAGTTAGAATGATGCTATCATGGTAGATAAATATTAACAAAAAGTGAACAAACTTCCACAGGCTTAAAAGGTTTCTTTTGAAAAAAATAATCATAATTTTAGATTAAATCATAATTTGTAATTACACAATTTAAAAAGGGAAGAAAAACCTTTTCTGTAAGCTTTGTTTGGAAAGTAAGAACAGCCCCCAGCTCCAGGTGTGAATGAGGCAGCTGAGTGATAACACTTGGTCACAATACTGAAAAGAAGTATATACACCCTTTTGTAAAAGTACCAAACACTTAAAAAAAAAAGAAAAAGAAAAAGAAAGAAAATCTCTAGTAGCATTCCTCAGCGTGCAAAATCAGCAAGAAGTGATTATCCATAATGTGAACGATTTTCATGATGCGTCTCGATCAGGCATTCAAAAAGCAGAGAGTGGGCCGCAGAGATTGTGCAGGTTAGGCTCTGTGGAATGCTTTCTCTTTGTTGTAACTGAATTCCAGGATTCCATTTCCTTTATAACAGCTCTGGCAGGGCTATGTTCGATTTAGTGCAAATGCAAAACGAGAACACAACAAAAGCACTGGGCCAAGGCTGAGCGTTAGGACCTGTAGTCTTTCCGCACCGTGTGGGCCATCCAGTTCACTTTAGTCGTCCAACTTTCCCTGAGCGCCTCATCAAATTTTTGCTTGAATTGCTTGAGTGCTTCTTCTTCACTCTTCCCTAAGGCCAGAGAATCCTAGAAATGAAGGGGTGACAAGGGACTGGATGCGTGCTTGGTAGGAGTGTGGCAGGTGCCCCACCATGTGCCCCTGGCTCGGCCTCCCCTCCCAGCTTCCCATCAGGCAGCCTACACTTGCTTTTATTTTACATCAAGGTAGGGTGACTTCTGGCAAAGGGTTTTTTAGGAGGAAATAGATTTATGACTACTACCAAACACCTTCTCATGGGCTTACTTCTATGATCTGAATACAATGCTTGTGACCCACTAAGGCCAAGGGCCGTGAAAAGCAAAGTGGAACCAGCAGGGAGTGACAGTAATGCTAGTCTCAGGTTCTCCCCCTAGCACAGAAATCACCTGGGTGTCAACGTTCGCTTTCAACATGGCTCCTTCAGAGGAACTTCCCTGATTCCTTTCCTCCTGGCTACGTTCCAGAGGAAATGCCCTGTGGGCATCTGAACTAGGCAGTTAGGTCCCTACCTGCAGGTCCCACACACAATAAAACAGGGGTTTATACCTTGAGATACTGTATATCCTTGACCGACGTGAGCTCAGGAAGGCCTGCAGTCAGCATCAGGGCAAACAGGGTGATGAAGAGGTTGCCGTGCCGCCGCAAAATCAGATAGGCATCCTCACAACACTGGCGGAACCTTTCACGGGGCAGCGGATCGCAGGAACATGTGTGAGAGCAAGGGCAGCACACGTCAGCAGAGAAACAAGAGGGCACATCTGGATGTTCTACTACAGAGCAGTTACATTTTACGGCGCGAAAGTTTTTCTCTGAAAACTATCCCACGACTTAACCACATATATTAATTTAGGCTCTCTCAAACTATCCATCTTTCCCCCAAAACAAAAATACATTAAAATTCTATGCTAAAATGGAATAGTATACTTAGTTAGGCTTTTTAATTATGTGAGACAAGAACCGATTATCAACTGAGCGCTGACAGTGACTCGGGTGATTTCTGAGCATACACTGCAGATGCCAGGTTGACGATGAGGGTACATTTCCTTCCTCTGAAACCAGTGCTTTTGTCCTGATGGTCATCCTGCCTCGCTTCTCTGTTCTCTTCAAGATGGTCCTTCAAGGGGACCATCTAGTCATATCCCTTTTGTTTTGCCATAGAGAAGACTGGACAGGGAGGCATATTCTGCAGAAACCCAGGCAGTACTAGAAATGGTAATACCAGCCATTCATTAGGATATGGTATGTGTCTGTTGCATCTTGGAATATATTTCTAATCAACATAATTATTTTGTCCCCCTTTTAAGATGAAGAAATAAAGGCAAAAAGCCTAGTGATGGCAGAGAAAAAAGCCTAGTGATGTACTTGAAGCTGCTGAGGCATAGATTAGAGAACATACATCCACTTTGCCCACCCCTACTACACTCCCTAGGCGCCCTGGTGGTGAAGTGGTTATGAATTGGCCTGTGGTCTGCATGGTTGGCAGTTTGAAACCACCAGCCACTCGGGAGCGAGACTAGACCTTTCTACTCCCATACACAGGTACAGTCCAGAAACCTACCAGGGCGTCTCCATGAGTCAGCACTGAACTGATGGCAGTTTGGTTGGGGTTTCCATTTCTCACCGCCATTGAGTCGACTCTGACTCAGAGTGACCCTACGTGGCAGGGAGACCTGCCCCTCTGAGTTTCCAAGACTGTAACTCTTTACAGGTGTAGAAAGCCTCCCCTGTCTCCCTCTGAGTGGCTGATGGTGCTCATAACCACTAGGCCACCAGCACTATACAGAAAAAGGCAGAAACATGCCTGTTCTCTCAGAATCTCATCATATGCCTTCAAAATGTCAGAAAATTTTCAGAAACCGGCAAAAGGTACTACTACTAAAACAAGTTAACATTTTATATTTCTAATGTTTTTGGTTTCTCCTTACACATTTCTGATCCAGTACATAGATCTGAGTGGCAAAGGTGCTATGCCTCTGCTCCCCCCCCCCCAACCTGGCTTTTATTAACAGATTGTGTGCCTCTCCGATCCAAACACACTGAAGCACTGATATGCTAGTCCAGCTGCTACAGTGAGAAACTGGAAGATCAGTTTAGCCTTGACATAGGGCAATACTCACCGGCCAAATTTCTCAGTGTTTCCTGTTTTTCCTTGTTGAATGACATGAATAAAATCATAGGTAAGAATAAAAGGCACTCGCTCCCTTTTAATGCCAAATTTAGATTTGAAGTTTCCAAGAATATGTCCAAAGTCAATATGGAAGAGCTGCGAAACAAATGAGACTTAATTCCCCCATCTTCCCAAGATGCTCCTAACGGTAGGCAGACCCCCCCACCTAGCAGCCCATGGCTACACCCAACTCACTCAAGCCTGCTCTCCTTTCACAGGTGACAGGCCACTTGGGAAGACACTAATTCTAACCTTTCCAGGTCTTTTATACTAAATGATAACTGTAAAATTAAACTGCATATTCTCAGTAGGAACTGGGGAGGCATTTAAACAACAAATACTGCGTCTGATTAAAAAGATAAATACATACCAAGTAGTTCTACATGGCAAAAAGAGCACTGCCTTCCCTATAGCTCCCTCAACTTGAACGTCACTACTTAGAGCAGTGGTTGTCAACCTGCCTAATGCTGCAACCCTTTAATACAGTTCCTCACGTTGTGGTGACCCCCCAACCATAAAATTATTTTCATTGCTACTTTCTAACTGTAATTTTGCCACTGTTATGAACTGGGCGACCCCTGTGAAAGGGTCGTTCGACCCCCAAAAGGGTCGCGACCCACAGGGCGAGAACCACTGACTTAGAGGCTACCTCTCCTTTCCTTGATCTGTTTACTTGTTTTCTCTGGTGTTACTGTTCACTTTAAAAGTATGCCAATGGTACCATTTTTCCTTCCTAATGTTAGGTTATGAGCACCACCGTGGTGTTAAAGAGCCTGATGGCACAGAGATGGCGCACCCTCAGTGTGGCCCACCAAACCCTCAGCAGCGACAGGAGGCTGCTGGAAAGACCTACAGCCTTTGGAAACCCAAAGGGGAAGCATTACTCTGTCCTATAAGGTAACTGTGCGTCAGAATCCGGTCCACAGTGGTGGGATTTCTATTAAGGAAGGTAGGGATTCACACTTGCATGCTAATATGCAGTGCTATACAATGTAGTGCCATTTTGCTTATTTGTTCTTGATCTTTCATGGTGAGTGCTTCCTTCACATGTCTGGTAATCCTTGGGTGGCCCTTGAACATGGTAACTTGTTGATTGGCAGGCTTCCTAGCCAGGCTGTTTCACAGGAGCCCATCAGATTTCCTTGGGAAGAAGCAGCTGGTGCCTTGCTGAGAATGGGATAAACTGCCAACTGCTAGTGCTCGTGGTGAACGCAAGCAGAAGGGGCTGGGTCACAGTGTTTGGTTTGACAGCTCTCCCTTTATTGCCATTATGAACACTGAACACTTTCCTCAGCCTTTGTGGAGCCCAGAGTCCGTGGTCAAAAGAACTCGTTTCTTCAGAGAATCCGTCTTCCATCTCCTTGGTGAGATGACTTGAGTACCTAAATGCTTTAAACATAAATGGCCACCAGGCCTAAGAGAGCCTCTTCCCACGTCGGCACCTGCAGAAGCAGCTGGAGTCTGAATCTTCACAGGTCCACCGACAAACCACTCGACAGCTACTCGGGTTTCCCTTTGTCCCACTCAGACAGTGAGTCCTTTCCACTTCTCTGTCCTGCTTCCTAGCCTTCTCAAGTCCTTCGAAGTCTTTCATCCACTGGGGCTTCTTTCCCTATTATCTTTGCTTATTCTAGTTTTTAAAAAGTGTCTTTAGTTTACACATTCATATTCTTAGTTATTATTATGGAGGTGTCAGAACAAGTATGGAATTAAAACTATGCATCCAATTGCATTAACCAAAAATTTAAGGGAATCCTTTTAAGTGTTACTATAAGGTCCAAATGAGCCTTCAAAGGGGCTGGACTTGACACTCAAAAGGGAAGGGTGTATTGCCGGGTAGATCACTTTGGTGCATACTCATGGACAAACTCTCAAAACTCACGCCAGAGCTGCCCAAATCTTACACGATGTACAAAATTCTAGGTTCTACCTAAAGCCAGAGGTTAAACATGACGCCACAGATTTTCATCCTGCTATGCGGCTCACAGCAAGAAGTTCCAAGGAAAGTTACACTGAAAAACTACCCAAAATATCTCATCTGCCATTGCTTATAACATAAAAGACTTTATAGACAAATATAAATTACTCTGGAAAGATGAAGTATTGTTCATTGTAAAACTAAGAACTTCTAAAATAGCCTGACCTAGCTTCACTAACATGCTACCGATACTCCTTTTCTCCATATGCCCAGATATAACTAACTAATTGTGATGTTCTAAAAGAGAAAATTGCTCTAGTGGGGTTCATCTCAAATTTGTTTAGAAGGGCTCATCTGCAATGTTCACATATCTTGTACCTTCTATTCTTAATTTTTATATTGAAAGATCACTATAGAACTGCAAAAAAATATATTTTAAATTGTAAAATAAATACCATCTAACATTATAAGCGAGCAAACAAATGAAAATATGAAGCACGTGGTATCTGAAGTGCGGGGGTAGTAGAGAAAAGACACTGAGAACCACTGAAGAATCTGCTTGCGTTTCCTGAGAGATTATGCTACATGTAATGGAACCATCAGGGGATTTGGCAGACCTCAGGGAACAGCTCACCTGGCCAGTTTTCTTGACCATGATGTTGTCACTATGTCGGTCGCCAATCCCAAGGACATAAGAAGCTACACAGTAGCCAGCACAGGACAAGGTAAACTCCTCAATAGCTCGGTCCAAGTCATCCCTAAACAAGAAAACAAGTAAAAACAACAAATTATTTTCAGCTTCCAAATGGGGCTGTGCCTCCATCCATATCTTCTGAGTTGGGAGTCGAACCACTCGGCCTAGGACAGGGCATGAGCTGCACAGTAGAGACCTGAGACTTGGGGCTGGGAGCTGTGGGGATGGGGCAACTCTGCACAGTCACGGCAGAAGATGGTGATGGGCTTGGCTGGACAGCGCTCAGGCGTGGGGACATTTTCATAAGTTTAACCTACGACTAGAACTTCCTGTTTAAGAATTGAGTATTATAGCTGTTACCATTTAAATCACTGACTTCAGTTAGAAGAAAGTAAAAGACCCTTTAGAGAGGAAAGAGTCTATTCTTGAAATCAGAAACTGATTCTTTACACATACAAGTCACTGGATCTTCTCAATGGTAACATTTGAGACTAGAAGTTTTTAGCAAAAAGCATTATAGAGCTTTTTCCTTCCCAAGGTGAATTCTTTTCATTTCTACACAGTAGTGCCTTTTTAACACTATAACCATAAACAGCACAACTCTAACCTCTGTCTTTGGAGAGATTACAGCCTAGAACTCATTTACTTCTGTCAGATAAAAACAATCTATTCAAAACTTACTAAAGTTCATATATGTACACAATCATAGAAGCTAATGTACTTTATAATGTCAATATTACGTAAATTCTTCGATAGTAATTTTGTACAGCAGCATCCTAAACTTGGTTGTTGACAACATAAAACTGAATGCTGACCATCTGTAAAATTTTATGAAGGTGTGTGTAATACTGATCTAACATAAAACGAAGTAACACGAATATTCCCTCTAAGACACTGCTGATGGTCATCAGGAGAATAGTCCTTTCTTTAGCTGTTTGCAAAGAACGATGATAATCAACAGAGAACACGAACCCAGAATTGTACTCTTTAAGCCAGTTCAGAAGGGCATCTTTGTTGAAGGCGGCGGCAGCGGCCACGTTGCTACTGTTGAGCTGGATGTCGGCAATTGTTTCAGAGGTGCTCACAACTTCAATGAGGCCTGAGCGGTCTCCTGTTGCCAAACAGCCATATGGCAGCATCCTGAAAGGGGGGAAATGGCATGAGAAGTAATCTGTGCAGATTTTCCATAAAAGTAGATATATTTTCTTTAATTTTTAAAGTTTTATTATTGTTATTGCCCTACCATTACTGTTTTATTGACACATGGGAAAACATGAGTTTTAACTTCTGTTAGGGCAGTGGTTCTCAACCTTCCTAATGCTGTGACCCTTTCATACAGTTCCTCATGTTGTGGTGACCCCCAACCATAAAATTAATTTTGTTGCTATTACATAACTGTAATTTTGCTACTGTTATGATTTGGGCGACCCCTGTGAACGGGTCATTTGACACCCCCCCCAAGGGGTCATGACCCACAGGTTGAGAACCACTGTGTTATGGAGTAAATCTCTTAGCTAACAGATGGAATAACTTACCAGAATTCTAAAATGCCAGCTAAATGTATAATTTACTATCTTGCTATTCTGGTGAAACATTCCGTGAGTGGGTGTGGCTGCACAAAAGCACAACAGATAATGAAGAGTCTTTGTTTCCACTCTAAACTGCAAGAAGGGAACCACCCGTTGTTGAGTGCCTAATCGATGGCAGGCTCCAAGTGAAGCATTTTATACATATTGTATTGGTTCATGGCTACTCCATCCCTCCCGTTGTTCAGACCCACCACCTTAAGGTAAGCTTCAATCCTTTTCTTTCTCTCAAGTCCCACAATTAATGGTTCCCTTCAAAATGAACCCAGAAAGTCAGTAAGTGTTCCTCCTCCACCTCTACCCTTCCTTTACTACCACCACATCGCCATCAGTCCTTACCTTACTTATTCAACAGTTGACTGTTGTGTCTGCACTGCAGTCTGTTCTAAGTGTAGTGGTTAACAAGATCCACTGAGGAGGTACTCAGGCCATAGCATATCAGTGTCGCTCTCCAGACTGAAAGCTCAACACTAGCTTCCCTAACCTTACAGTGAATGCCACCATCCTTGCCACAGTTCACCAGCTGTGATCCAATCTGGCCTCTTGTTACTTTTCCGGTCAGCCTTCTCTTGCTCAATTTTCTCCTGTTAGGCCAGTGGTTCTCAACCTGTGGGTCTTGATCCCTTTGGGGGTCGAATGACCCTTTCACAGGGGTCACCTAAGACCACCGGAAAACACATTTCCGATGGTCTTAGGAACCGAGACACCGCTCCTCTATCCATCTCCAGGCGGGTCCGCCCACATGCAGACACGCCCCCACATGCAGATACGCCCATGTGTGAGTACCTGGCATGAAGACTGTTACCCATGCTACACCATGCTTCAAGACAAAGTTTTATTGATTTATAATTAGAAATAAATATTTCACAATATATAATTACAGATTGTTTTGTGATGAATCACTGTGCTTTAATTATGTTCAATTTGTAACAATGAAAATATATCTGGCATATCATATATTTACATGACGATTCATAACAGTAGCAAAATTACAGTGATGAAGTAGCAACAAAAACAATGTTATGGTTGGGGGCGGTCACCACCACATGAGGAACTGTATGAAAGGGTCACGGCGTGAGGGAGGTTGAGAACCACTGTGTTAGACTAATACACTACCCTCCTTGTTGGTACACTTACACAAGACACCACACTTCCTTACTTTTTTCTACATGCTATTTTCTCAATCTGGAATATTCTTTCCCCCAGAGGTCTGTGTGGCTTATTGTTTTACCTCTTTTCAAATCTCTGTTGACATATCAAAGTAAATGTTAAACAACTATTCTGAATAAATAAAATCTATAATAAAAACCTCTGTAAGGTGAATTCCTAATTCTACATATGAGGAATGTATGTAACTGTAAAAGACCACACACTCAACAATTTATAACTGGGTCTGTGTGGCTCAAAAGCCCTTCCTTTATCCTAATACAGCCACCAGTCACCGACTATGCAACTTGTCTTCCAGGGAGCTTCTGTGTAAATCATAAAGGATATGGAGCCTAACTGGACGACGATGAATTACTGCATGTTTTATAGATCACAGGAACTGAACAGAGCACTAACCAGCACCAATGTGCCATCCGTGGGTCTGCAGGCTGACCTTTTGTCTGTGGAGTTGAAGTCTTGCCTCCCCGCCTTCAGCTGAATTACACACTCTTTGGAGAGAGCAACTCTGACTTAGGAGAGAGCTAACTGAAAAAATGCACATGGCTGGCAGTGGGTCAGCACAAAGAGAGTTGATACTCCTACTTGCTCCATAGAAGACTATGCTTATGAAAACAACTCTGCAGCAGAGATGATCCAACTGGCACAGAATAAGCTACTGGGGGAAGGAGGAAGTGGTGGTAAATGGTTTAAACCATTGAGTACAAAATTGATGCAATATGAAACCTCCAACTAATTCACAATTTTAAAAAATCATTAAACATGAGATTATCAGTGACAGTAGTCTTTGCTAAACTGATAGGTGGTATTTTGCTTTGAATTATACCTATCTGATTGATCCCTATGAAAGATAAACATTCTCAACTCTTTTGGACATTTTAAGAATTATATTGTAAAATAGCTACTCACATTATCTGCCTATTTTTTAGAGCTCTTTTTTGAAATGAACACTTTTCTTAATCATTTCTTATGAATTCTTCTTTTCTGTCACTTTGGTTGGAAATATTTTCTCTAGTCTTTTAAATAGAACTCTAAGATAAAATATGATGCTATAAAAAGTTCAAGTAAAGGTCAGGCGATTATGAAAACTACAATGGCTGAAATTCATGGAGTCACTCAGTAAGGACCTGGGTGTGGCTATGCGCCAGGCATTGTGTTAGATTGCTGGTGATACAGAACTGCAGTAAAAGGGAGTCTTCTCTCGCTGAGGCCGGCAGACACAAATGCAAACCCTTCATGGGACCTTAGTGGGAAAGAGTGCCATGAAGTCAGACAGCCGAGCTGGAGAACACAGATGCAGGGCAAGGGGAAATGCCAAATGTTGGACAGACCGGGTATGTCGTTTAAAAGGTCTTTGAAAGGTTACAGAAAAGAGAAAAAAATGTAAATGTGTGTGGGTAGGTGTGTTGGGGAAGTGTAAGAGTTAAGTTGGGAAGTGTTAGAGACCCGACAAGAGGGGAGAATTCCCACACCAAACTCACTGTCGTTGAGTTGATGTCCACTCACAGACCCTACATGACAGAGCAGAAGTGCCCCTGTGGGTTTCTGAGACTAATTCTTAAGGGAAGTACAACAGCGGTGTTTTCAAGCTGCTGACCTTGTGGTTGACAGCTCAAAGTATAACCACCATGCGATCAGGACGCAAAAGGGGAGAACTGCACTAAATAGATTATAAAATTTCTTCTACCAAATCACTCATTTTTATGGCTCTGTAAACATTTCCTAGTACTAGCAAAAGCAAAACCAGGAGAAGAATTCTCAGATTACACCTTGGCAAGGTGACATAAAAACTTGCTTTCTACCTAAATGATTAATTTCAACTTTCAAGGTTTCCCTCTCAATAAGAATGGCAGCTAGCTACGAAGCAGGAGTTTCTCCCAGCACTCCTTATCACGATACAACACATGGGGAGCAAGCGCTGTCAGGTGAAAGCTCACTCTGGCTCACTGGCAGTCAGACTGGGCACAAGGCCAGCAACTTCCTCTTCAAAAGCAAGCAAGGATGAAAGCATTCACTGTCTTGAGGATGAACTGTTCACAATGGGAAGGAAAAAACATCCTTGCAGAGAGACAGTTTGACAGAAGTCAAGCCGGGGACAAACTCCTGGGGTCCTGACCATCTCATCCGAGGCCATGACAACAATTCCAGTACTGTTTACCTTCTTTTCTAAGACTTTCTGACCCAAGGAGCAATGTCACTTTTCACACGAAAGCAAAAATGCAAGAATTACATTCTATAACAGGGGGACAAAAGCCCCATATCTTCACTCTAGACAGGTAGGCAGCAGAGTTTCTTTGATCTTGACACTTAGCAGCCTCTACCCAAGTCTAAGTGCTGCCTTAGTTCCTTATCTCCAAAAGAGGACTATGTAAGTACTTTACTTAATACTTGTTTCACTTCCACCTCCTTCCTTCACTCTCCTGAGGCTACTGACAGACACACTGTCATTAAGAAACTTCTGTGTGAATCTCTTAAAAGTAAACCGTTAGTGAAAACCAGATATGCAGTGGAGAAAACTGTCAAAAAGCTGATGCCACGTGTGTGCATGAGGGTAGAGACAGATTTATATGTAGATGACCTGTCAGATTTGACAGAAAAAGGTGATTGCCAAGAAAGTCTGATGCCTGAGCGTAGTGATGACTTATGAATGAATGTTCTAATCTGAAATGAAAGAACTCTAAAGAATATTACGAGTCATCACTCAACAATGAAAATAAGCAATATGCATTTTTATTCATCCCAATAAGGCACAATTAGAGGCACTGCAGTAATGTATGGAAGGTACCTAAATATTTGGAATTGAAACTTAAAGAGTGTGTGCACTGTGACCCAGTTTAACCTGAACAGCTGGCCAAAGGAAAAACAAACACAATAGGAACACCAGAGCACATATATTTATAGAAACAATAAAAAGAGTTTGGTGAGAAAAAGGTATTCGTTTAAAAATGAACTTAAGGAATTAAAGTCTGCATGTTTTTTTTAAAACATGGGGTCAGAGAACAAAAAGTCAGCAGAGATTCCACTGGATGGACAAGTTCCTTTTCCTCCTGAGACACACAATGCTTTCCATCAGACAGACTGCAGGTTTATTTCTGGCCCTCCCACATGTGTCTGCCTCCCTTTGCCTTAAGTGATAATGAACTTCATTGATGCTAAATGTGCTTTATATTTGGATAAAATGGATAGAAACTAAGAGAAAGGAACATAGCCGGGGTTCTCCAAGTAGAATTAAGAAAACAAGGGAAAAGTTACTGTCTTTCTTACCTAAACAAGACTCATTATATGATCTGAATATGCTCTTAGCAGAAGGGTCCATTGTGTAGTTTATGTGTTGTTACCTTATAAAGAGCCAATGAGTTACCAGCCTCATTTTAGTTTCCCACCCAGCCCACCTTTAGGTGGGATTAATCAAGTAAAACGTGTTTTCATGTAGGCTTTCTGAATATGAGGGGTCAACTCATTTTTGCTGGAAAGGGAGACGAGACAGTAAATACTTCAGGCATTCCAAACTATTAGGTCACTGCCAAGGCACAAAAGCAGTCATAAACAAAACACAAGTTAATAGATATATGTGTTCCCCCTAAACGACTTTCAAATAAGGCCTACTCAGACTCCACTGAGTTTATGGTTCCCAGGAAGGGGCTTTCTCATAATCATTTATTCTCCTACCTGTACAGTATTCCTTGTGAATGGTGAACCAAAACTTTGCCACCTCTTCAGACCTATTCTATTTTTTGTGCAACTCTATTAGAAGTACACAGGAGCCTTGATGGTACAGTGGTTACACTCTGGGCCCAAATCCACGAGCTCAGCAGTTTGAAACCACCAGCTGGTCCATAGGAAAAAGAGGAGGCTGCTCCCATAAAGCTACAGACTCGGAAACACAGGGGCAGCCATACTACCCAGTCCTATACAGTCACTATGAGTCGGAATCGACTCGATGGCAATGAATTTGAGTTTCAGTTGTATGAGAAGTACAAGAATCCCTGGGGGGTGCAAATGGTTAAGCGCTCAACTACTATAAAAATCTGGCTGTGTGAACCCATCCAGACATACAGGTTGGAAGACAGACCTGGGCCATCTGCTTTTGAAAGGGTATGGTATTGAAAACACTACACAGCAGTTCTACTCTGCAGGGGCTGTCATGAGTTAGAATACATTTGTTGGCAACTAACCCCTTCAATAACTAATAGTGACCACAGGGTCCTGATTAAACTAAATAGAATCATTCTTCCTATTCCAATTGTATCCATAAAGCCCATGAAAAGAATCATCCTTGTTTGGCACATAGGTGCCACTGTGTCCGTTCTGACCATCGCAACCCTACAGACAATAGCGTGAAATGCTACTCTGTACTGTGCCATCCTCAAAATTGTCCTTATGTTTGAGCCACTGTGTCAGTTCATCTTGCCAAGGGTCTTCCTTTTTTCCCTGCCTCTCCACTTTACCAAGCATGGTGCCCTTCTCCAGGGACTGGGCCGTCCTGAGATGTCCAAAGTACATGAGATAAAGCCTTGCCATCTTTGTCTCTAAGGAGCACTTGGGTCTTCTTCCACGATAGATTTATTTGTTCTTTGGCAGAACGTGGTACTTCCAATATACTTTTCCAACACCGTGATTCAAATGCAGTCTTCTTTGGTCTTCCTTATTCAATGTCTAACTTTCAAATGCATATGAAGCAGTTGAAAATACCTGGCTTGGGTCAGGTGCACCTTAGTCCTCAAAGTAACATCTTTGTTGTCCCCCACACACCCTCACCCCCACCACCCAAGGGGATGAACAAACAGAAAGTGGGTGAAAGGAGACAGTGGATGGTGTAAGATATGAAAATAATAATAATTCATAATTTATCAGGGGCCCAGAAGGGTAGGAGTGTGGGGGAGGGAGGGAAAAGAGAGGAGCTGATACCAAGAATTCAAGCAGAAAGAAAATGTTTTGAAAATAATGATGGCAACATATGTACAAATGTGTTTGACACAATTGATGTATAGATTGTTATAAGAGCTGTAAGAGCCCCCAATAAAATAGTTTATTAATAATTAACTAAAAATTAAGAATAAAATACAAATAGAAAAAAAAAAAGTAACATCTTTGCTTTTCAACACTTTAAAGAGGGCTTGGTGCAGTAGATTTACCCAATGCAATATGTCTTTTGATCTCTTGACTGCTGCTTCCATGAGCACTGATTGTGAATCCAAATTCAAGCAAGAGAAAATCCCTTAACAACTTCAATCTTATCTCCATTTATCATTATTGATCTAGTCGTGAGAATTTTGGTCTTCTTTATATTCAGTTGTAAGGCATACTTAGGGCTGTAATTCTTGATCTTCATCAGCAAGTGCTTCAAGTCCTCCTCATTTTCAGCAAGCAAGGTTGTGTCATCGGCATATCGCAGGTTGTTAATAAGCCTTCCTCCAATCCTGAAACCCAATTCTCCACATAATCCAGCATCTCCAATTATCTGCTCAGCTACAGATTGAAAAAGTATGGTGAGAGTATCCAGCCGTTACACACCTTTCCTGAATTTAAATCATGCAGTACCGTATATACTCAAGTAGAAGCCAACCCGAGTATCAGTCTAGGCACCTAATTCTACCACAAAAACTGCATTAAAAATGTGCTGAAAAACTTGGCTTATGCACAAGTATATACAGTAATTCCTTGTTCCGCTCAAACAACTATGTATTGTTTCATGTACAGGTTTCCCATGACAACAACAAAGTGTTCTGGAGCTACCATTCTCAATGCTACCCCTAGATTGTTATGATCCACAGTCGAATGCCTTGGCATAGTCAATAAACCACAAGTAAACATCTTTCTGGTTATTCTCTGCTTTCAGCCAAGATCCATCTGAAATCAGCAACGATAATATCACTTGTTCCACGTCCTCTTCTGAATCTGGCCTGAACCTCTGGCAGCTCCCTGTTTAATACACTGCTGCAACCAGTGTTGGATGACCTTCATTAAAAGCTCACTTGCATGTGATATTAATGATATTGGGCTATCATTTGAGCATTCTGTTAGGTAACCTTTCTTTGGAATGGCTACAAACCTGGATCTCTTCTAGTCAGATGGCTAAGTAACTGTCTTCCAAATTTCCTTTCAGATGAGTGAGTGCTTCCAAAGCTTTACTGACTTGTTGAGACATTTCCATTGGCATTCCATCAATTCCTGGAGCCTTTTTTCTTTCCCCTTTCCCAACAGTTTTGTTGGTATATAATTCACATATCACACAATTCAATAGTTCAATCACATCAAGAAGAGTTGTACAATCATTATCACAGTCCTAGAACTTTTTCTTCATTATTTTTCTCTTTATGATTATATATTTTATTTGTCCAGTTGTGAGAATTTTTTTATTAATCATTTTATTGGGGGTCTCTTACAAATCTTATCACAATCCATCATTCAATTGTATTAAGCACATTTGTACATGTTACTACCAACATTTCCAAACATTTTCTTTCTACATGATCCCTTGGTTATCAGCTCTTCTTTTTTTCTCCCTCCCCGACCCCCCCACCCTCATGAGCCCTTGATCAATTATATATTATTATTGTTATTTAGTATCTTACACTGTCCATTGTCTCCCTTCACCCACATGTCTGTTATTCATCCCCCTCGAGGGAGGGCGGCGGCAGGGCTGGAGTCTTGGTTTGTGCTAATGCTTTCAGTGAAGGTTGGACTTTTTCCTTCAGGACTACTGGTTCTTGCTCATATGCTCTAGAAATAGCTGAATGCTGACTAATTCTTTTTGGTACAGTGACTCTTTGTATTCTTTCCATTGTCTTTTGATGTTTCCTGTATCATTCAATATTTTACCCACAGAATCTTTCAAAATTGAAATCGAAGTTTGAATTTTGTCTTTAGTTCTTTTAGTTGAAAATATGCCGAGTGTGTTCTTTTTTTATGGTTTTCTTACCACCACTCGTCTGTCAGTTTATTGTACTGGGTGGCCTATGTGCTGCTGTGCTGCTGGAAGCTATGTCCCTGGCACTTCAAATGCGAGCAGAGTAACTCAAGGTACACGTGTTTCAGCAGAGCTCTAGACTAAGAGCAGGAATAGGCTGTTCACGTCAGAGGAACTGGCTGCTGAAAACCTACGGACAGGACTGAAACCAGTCACACCCAACAGCAATCTATAAAATGCCTCACACAAGGGCACAATGTGCTTTAACTGCGCAAAGAATACCCTCTAGGATAGACTGTATCTTAGACATAAAGTAAAACTTGACAAATATCCGAAAACAGAAATAATAAAAAGCATGGTCTCTGACTACCTAGGAGGCAAATTAGAAAGCAGTAACTGAAATATATGGCACAAATATATAAAAATGTAACAAAGTAACCAATAGCTCAAAGGGGAAAAAATCACCAGTGAAATCAGAAAAAGTCAGAGATGAACAAACTGAAACAAAACATGGGATGTAGAAGTAGCAGTGCTTCTAGAGACATTTATAGCTAATCACCCATACGAAAAAGGATCCCAAATTAAAAACCTAACCTTTCAATTTAAGAAATTATAAAAAGATTAAACTAAGCCAAAAGCAAGGATGGAAGGTGGATGAGAATGAAAATGAATGAAATACAGAGCAGAAAAACAACAGAGATCCAAAAGGTGGCTCTCGGAATAAATCAACAAAATTGACAAATAAAATTCAGAAGTAAAAGGACTACAAGGGACTACTATAAACAATTAACATGTAAGAAAACATCCTAACGAAAAGAACCTAAGCTAATGGAAAAGAGGCACAGGCCCACCCCTCTGGCCTGTCACTTGCCATGACAACCAGCAGGGTGCGCCCTCCTCCGAGAGCATCTTCAAAACTACAGCTTGTAATGTGACTTTGCTGTCCAGATATTAGTGTAAATCTAGATCTATTGCTTTTGGGGGGAAATCTCAGTCACGTACATAACTTTTTAAACTTGATGACATTTAAATAATACACTTGAAAGGATATTATATAAATATTATTATGAACAACTAATTACAATAGCAAGAGGAATGGAATCAACATGAAGTTTTAGACATTTTGCTATTCGAGTAATACATTCAGTGAAAAAATAAATTAACTAGAAATCTTACCGAAGATCCAGGCCAGCTTCTTTCCAGAGTAAATCCATCAATCGTAGCATTTGAAGTGTCAACATGTCCTGTCTTAAATCTAAAAGGAAAAAAAGTTTCACTTAAATAGCTTTCCATTTTATGTTCAGTAACTTATTAAATTCCGTTTCACTGGAGTTAGTCACAATTAACTAAAACTTACAATGAACACTGTGTAAATGTTTTCCAATATTTTAACATTTACTATAATCATCTTATCAAATTTTAGACTGCTTCGTTAGCATGTCCCTGTGGCAATTTTTCTTATAAATTAAGTTAAAGAAAATGTTTTTAAAATGTTTTAACATGAGCAATCAATCTACTATACATCGGAGAAACCACTGCTACCATGTGGATTCTGGCTCACAGCAACTCCCCGGGTACTCTCATAGGCGCTCATAAAATGTACGCGACAGCCCCGTCCGATGAGTTCCTCTATTTGCTTCCAAGTGCACACTGTGAGTACTGCAAGACAGCACTGCACCACAACGCCACAACACTACATCTACAGTCGACTTTTACTTCACATCGTAGCTAAGGGTAGTTTCTAGGTCACACAAATAGGAAGGTGCTGGCATCCATGTAATGAGTTTGTATAGTGAAATGAGTACATGTCTAGCAAACACATTTTATTAAGCACATTTACTTTTGTAATTCCTTTTAATAACTGTAATAGAAAAGGTGACTCTGTAAAAGCCTATACTTACCATCACCATTTTTAAAAATTACTCCAACTGAATCTTCACCAAACACCTTGTTGTTGTACACCAGCCACAAAGGCTTCATTTTGGAATCCATGTATTTGCACTTCTCAACACTGAAATCAAACAAGGGAAAAGTTAGACCACTTCAATGAAAATAAAAAGCAAACCTGTAATTTTACCTTGAGAAAGTAGACTGGGGCAAAGACCTTACTTATTCCTATGAAGTACTTAAGAATTCAAAATGAAAAAAAAAAAAATTCAAACTGAGAGCCTGAGGGCCAGGTGGTGGAAAGCAATCATGCAGGCCGCCTGGGAGGCATGCGCGGAGGCCAAGGGGTTGGCCTGAACACCCTCGATCTGCCTTTCTCACCACCTCCAGTAAAACCCCTCGTCTCCTATTCATCTTTAACTTACATGACTGTATTTAGTGAATTAACAAAACATGAACATATGACGGGATTAATATTACTAGTATATGTGCTGTCAAAGCAAGCACAGATGGGATCGATATTATGAGATGATTTTTTTTTATGATTCTTGATTTTTGAATATTGACAGAAGAATGCATGTCATTACTTCAGAAGGAGAAAAAACTGTAAATTCATTCAATATCATTTAAATTTGGTAAAGTCAACTACTAAAAAATTTAATATGGTTTCCAGTATTTTATTGATGTGATTCTCAACTCGTAGAAATAGTTGAGGAAGTTTTAATTCTATATAACTGAAAGGACATTAACTTATAATACCTTTCATTAACTTCAGGGGTAAACTTAGTGGGTACAGATGCCATTTGTTAAACACTAGTATAGCCTTTGCAGACTTTACTCTTTCCCTTCTTAAATTATATTGCACTTACTGGGGCTGACAGTTGGCCCTAATACTCCTCAAGCAGTGGCTCTGCGGTTGATCCTGCATTGCTAGTTTCATGGGAGAGTCATTGAACACAGTACAGACACTTACTAGAGTTCTGAGAGGATGACACATGGGTTCAGAGGAGACTGCAGGTCAGAGAGGGCTTCTCGATACGCATTCTGTTTTAAACAGGTGTGCATGGCTTCTTTCCCTTTGGCTCTATTTAGCTTCATTGCATTCAATTTGATTAAACTATTTAAAGTTTTTAACTTATTAAGTGCTTCAACCTGAAAAACAAGTTTTCCCAACCCCAACATTCATTTGTAGTTACAAATAATATAGAATAATACAGTATTATGTGATTATATTAACCAATAACTACCCATCCCCAGCACACATGCATACACACAACATAGTTAAAGTAAAAAAGTATTTTGGCAGAGGACAATTTTACATATAGAATAAAAGGCTTTATTTTTGCCACCTGTTGCTTAAAGAACTGTTTTTCAAACTAAAGATTTTCTTGTGTGAAGTCTTAGATATTACAGAAAAGGAAAGGGACATAAGAAGTATGAAGCAAATTTCTCAGAATTCGGGATGAGTAACAGAAGGTGAACAAGCAGTAATCTAAGTCACTCCTGTCGGACTTCTTCCTTACAAGGAAACTCTATGTAGCATTAGCCCTGAGGACCCAGACACAACACCTAAATGCCTACTTTCTGTTATCACACTTGCACAAAAAAACCATACACAAACAGCAGAAAGTAGACAGACTAACAATGACCAACTGAATCAAAAAGCATATCTTGCATTGTGATTTGATAACTTTTCATATCATGTTGTATAAAACTTCTTGAGAAACAGTTTTAGCCAACAACAGATTCATAGGTACAGAAATACATTTTACCAAGATTATAGAGAACAAATTATGAAAACAGAACTAAAGTGTTTATCATACATGAGGGGGCTTCATAAATTTCATGGAAAATGAAATGAAAATATGGTGGAATTTTTTTAAAGCCCTCCCATACAAATATAGAGAGTCTCTGGTGGTGTGGTGTGTAACTGCTTGGCTTTGAGCCATCAGGTCAGCTGTATGAATCCACCGGCTGTGCCAGGTGAGAAGAGAGAAAACATGGCAGTCTGCTTCTGGCAGCCAAACAGTTTTGTGGAAAAAGGAGAAAAGATTGTAGCCTAAGAAACATTGTGTGGTGGTTCAAAATGTGAATTTCTATCTACTCTGTCCTATAGGTTTGCTTATTGGGCATCAACTTGACTTGACAGCAAAAAAAAAAAAAAAAAAAAAAATCAATATAACCAAATATAAACCATGGCTTGAATTTTCATGCAGAGGAGATATTTCTATCATATCTTCATTTTAGAATTCTACTTCTTTGCAAGGAAACCACTAAAACTCTGTAGGGAGGTATATTCAAGCACGCCTTTTCTACAAATAGGGTGAGGCCTCACTCACAGGAAACCGGGAAGGTTCTATGCCGCTTGATGATATAATAGAGACGGCTGAGACTTGCTGAGTTAGCCATCTGTAAAAACCACAGACACTCCACTTCTCAACAAATTCGGGAGCTGCACAAACACTAGTGACAAGGGAATGAAAAGAAAACGGGGCTACAGAAACAGGACCTTTTTGAAGCATTTAAATTTGAATTTCTTCTGTTTGTATAGTTGGAATTTTTAAGTCTCATTTCTAATTGTGTTGATATCCATTTCCTGGACAATGTCCTAGATACCACCCCCATGGTTATGATTCATGAGTCAAATACTTCAAGTGTTTCAATACTCTCTTTTTATAGTTTACAGTGATAACTTTGTCTTTTTATAGGTTTAGTCCCATTTCAAGATATAGTCTTCTCTTTGCTATTCATCAGTCAAAAATATTGGCTCATAAATATATCACCTTTATAATAATAAAAGGTCAAGGTGATACTCCCAGAAAACAAACAAAAACCAACCAACCAAATAAACAAAATGCCCAGTGTAAAGTGGTCCCTTGACGAAATCCGACAACTAGAAACTTGGTCAAGTGGACCTTTCGTTTTATTCTCAATGCAATGAAAAATTATTGCAGGGATATAAATGTAGAAATAATACAAAATAGAATATACATTTTAAACAGATTACTTCATCTAAAATCATACTGATTAAAGGTATAGTTTGCTTGCAATAAGCTGTACTTATAAAAAGTTGAAATGGCAAAAGTTGTGTAATATATATACACGTGGACACTCACACACACACACACACACACAGCTTATATATACAAACAAGCACCACATGGGATTTGGTGTCTTGGTTTGGACGTTTATTAGGGTCATGTTTTAGGAACGTCTCAGTTAAGTGGCCTCTGGCCCTCCTCCAAACTTGGCTGTGTAGTGTCTGGAGTCTTAAAAGTTTGCAAGTTGGGGAATGGGGTGTGAGGGGAAGATATCAATTCCTCAACAGAAAATAAATGTTTAGAAAAGAATGATGGCTACATATGTAAAAATATGCTTGTTACAATTAATGTATGTATTTTTCTAAGAGTTGTAAGGACCTCCAATAAAATGATCTTTTAATTAAAAAAAAAAAGTTTGCAGGTGACCACCCAAGACATAACCGTTCCTCATTCTCCTGGAGCAGCAAAGGGAGAGTCAGAAACAGGAGGAGGGTGTGGAATGTGAGTTTATTTGCCTCCAGCAAAAACTGCTCCTTTGCATGGTGCCCCAACAGGCTAGACTGGAAAACACAAGTTTTTCTTGCTTGGTATATTTTAATTTGTTCTTCGTCAGTGGATTGATGTTGTTGCT